GCCTTAGCCGCTTGAGCCACAGGCGCGGAGCCTATTATAAGGATTTAATGAAATAATAACTGAAAATAGCCAGGCAGTGCCTGGCTTAGCGAGTAGGGCGCTGGCCCCATTTACCAAGGGTGGTAACCCGGCCCCGGCCCCATTTACCAAGGGTTCGAACCCGGCCCCGGCCAAACTGCAACAAAAAATAGCTGGGTGTTGTGGTGGGTGCCTGTAGTCCCACCTACTCGGGAGGGGCAAAAGAATTACCTAAGCCCAAGAGCTGGAGGTTGCTGTGAGCTGTGATGCTACAGCTCTCTACCGAGGGTGACAATAAAAAAAAAAAACCAATATTGAAAATAGCCAATATTTATCCTTGCTTATTAGGGCTTAGGGATCATTCTAAGTGTTCTGTGTGTATTTTTTCATTTAACTTTTATAAGTCTGTAGGGTGGGGAACTATTACTAGTGGTAAGCCATTTTTCTGGGTAAAGAAACTGAGGCATGGGAGGTTAAGTAGTCAATGGTGGTCTCTGGTGTGGACAGGCTGGGGGCTGAGGCCCCCAGCGAACTAGAGTGGGACTTTTTGTGTTCCCAGCAGGCAGCAGGCCTACTGGAGAATTTCCCTGAAACCACACATGTGAAAGGGAGTATAGGAGGGCATCTCTGTTGAGTCAGCAGCCTGTGGGACAGGACTAGAACCCCAGAGTCCTGGTGGCCCACCCATACTGACCCTTCTTGAGTCACCTTTCACCCTTAGTCTGGAAAGGGACCTGTCTGCCCTGAATAGCTTAGGAGTGGGAAGGGGGGGACGATGTTTGGATAAGAAGTGGGGGCAGATGTTTGGACAAAGGGCAGGCCCTGCAGAGCTGAATTCCCAGGATCATAGTCTGTTGTCAGAGCTGGCAGTGGGTTCAGAAATCATCTGGCCTGCCCCACCTCATTTCACAGAGGTGCATCCTGAGAAGGTGAAGGGATAGGTCACAGTAACGTCTTGGTTTGGTGGCCCATAAGGGCCATTCCTGCCAGTGCCTCTTGTGTTGTGTTCAGCCAGCCACCTGTATACTGCCTGCCTGATAGTGGCTGTCAGATGGGCCTGGGGTGCTGAACTGATGGCAATAATGACAGACATCCCTAGTCCAAAGGTGACCTGCCCCACATCCCTTCCTACAAATAGGACCCCATTCCTTTTGTGGAGCCAAAAGTGTGTTGCTTTTCTTTTTGCAGTTTTTGGCCGGGGCTGGGTTTGAACTGCCACCTCCGGCATATGGGGCTGGCGCCCTACTCCTTTGAGCCACAGATGCCGCCCCCGCCAAAAGTGTGTTTTCAAAGTGGGCAGGTAGAGGGGTCGAGGAGAGGGCCCAGCTTCTCTCTCTTTTTTCTTTTACCCTATTAAGGGGATTCACATTATACACCTACTTAGGATTATCTTCCTCTGCTTACATAAGTGAAAACATTTCCCAGAACAGTTCATATCTCTTCATCTTAAACTTCCACTACTCTCCCTGTTGCCCTTCCCTTGTTCTCTTGCTCTCCGTTTCCTCAGGGTGTGCAGTGACAATCCCCTGCCCCTCTCCTGGTGTCCTAGCTTGCTTCCTCACACCCTCACTATAGGGAAAATCTTTCTTTTCCTTCCTTCCTTCCCTTTCTTCCCTTTCCCTCCTCTCCTACCCTGGGTAGAGTGCTGTGGTGTTAATCGTAGCTCACAGCAACCTCAAACTCTTTGAGGTTGAGCAATCCTCCTATCTCAGCCCCTCAAGTAGCTGGGACTACAGGTGTGTGCCACAATGCCCAGCTAGCTTTTTCTATTTTTAGTAAAGATGGGGTCTCGCTCTTGCTCAGGCTTGTCTTGAACTCCTGAGTTCAGACAATCCATCTGCCTCGGCCTCTAGAGTGCTAGGATTACAGGCCATGCCCACCATGCCCAGCTGGAAAGGCTTTTCTTATTTTCTATGTTGTTTGGCAGGCCTGAGCTGGGTTCGAACCCTCCCGCTCTGGTGTATGTGGCTGGCACCCTAGCCACTGAGGTATAGGCAGTGAGCCAGTGACCTGACATTCTTGTTCTGGGCCTATCCCATCTGCTCAGGGGAGATGGAGAAAAGTTTTCCTCAAAATAACGCACTTAGGGACCTGGCCTGTCATTTAAGCTCGCTTCTTAGTCCTCCCTGCACTGTCCCCTCTCTGAGTTATCCCAGCTGTCATAAGAGAAAAGAGATAAAGACAGTCCTTCATGTGATCCCGGAACTGCACAGGGTGCCCTAAAAGGAGGCTAGTCTCTTGCTTCTAGCAGAGGCTCTGGGGGATACAGACTTGGATCTCAGAGTACCTGCCCTGGGGATCCTAAAGGTCCTAGGGGAGGTGGTGGCTCTGTCAAGGGGCCCAGACTTTGCCAAGGCTTGTCCTTACCAGGACCCAGGGACCTTACCGGGGTCTTCTCCATAGCTCTTCCTAAATCTCTGATACCACAGAGGGTGACAGCAGGCCCAGAGGACATTTATTTGGCAGAAAAGGCATAAGAGCACAGAGTAACATAAAGGACAGGACTCAGGATCGTGAAGCCTGGATTCTGACTGTACCACTAACCTGCTAGTTCTGTGATCTGGTGGAGCCACTCCACTGTCTGAGCCTTGATTCTCTCATCCGAAATGAACATTTGGGGTTGTACAACCTTGAGTTTCCTTCCACCTGGTTCCTGGCTCCCTTCCTCCCCTGGCTGAGGGGCTCTCCCTGCTGCAGGGATGGTGCTCTCTCTGTCTTGCCGCCTGATTCTTCAGCCCTTTATCCTCCCTAGCCACTGCCCCTGGGGAATACAGGCAGAAGTCATATTCCAGAGACCCTGGGATTCAAATGTGTGTCTCCTCCTCTTAGGGGGGTTCAGGGCCCTGCACTCACTGCTCCTTAGCAGAGCCAGTGAAGAGAACAGTCACAGGCTGCCACATGCCTCTCTGACACACTACAGCTGTTATTTGAAGGAACCAGAAAGTCCTGTCTCAGGCCTGCCCTTCTGTGCAGCTTCCCAGCCCCCATGGCCAGCGTGGTGTACCCATTCATTCACCTGGGCTCCTCAGGCTGCCCTGACTCAGCCTGCTACTGGTCCACTGGTCCCTTCCCCTTTGAGGCCTGGCAGCTCTGGCACTGGGGATAGCTTGTTTTCCTCCTCCTCCTCGCTCTCTACTTTGAACCTTGGCTCTGTCCCAGCTCTGGCTTTCAGGCCTGGTGCTCCTGCCAGCTGCCTTGGGGATGGGGCTGACCCTTTCAAAGGGTCCCAGCTGGCCCTGTGAGTCACCAGGAGGCTTTAGTGAGGGCCGCCTAGCTTCTTTCCTCGTTTTGCGGTCAAGCCAGCAATATTGGAAGGTTTTCTTTCTTTCTTTTCTTCTTCTTTTTTTTTTTTTTGCAACAGGGTCTTGCTCTAGAGAGCAGTGGTATTACCATAGCTCACTGCAACCTCAAACCTCCTGGGCTCAAGTAATCCTCCTGCCTCAGCCTTCCAAGTAACTGGGACTGAAGGCATGTACCATCATGTCTGGCAAATTTTTCTATTTGTAGTAGAGATGGAGTCTTGCTTTTGCTCAGGCTGGTACTGAACTCCTGAGCTTAAGCCATCTTCCTGCCTCGGTTTCCCGGAGTGCTAGAATTATAGGCATGAGGCATTGCATTGGCACAGGTTTCCCCTGTTCTTGCCTCTCCCAGCACTGAAGCTCAGCAGCACCTCTGGGCTCCAGAGATGACCCACCTCCTGCTTCTCCGTGGCCAGGGAGGTGCCCAGTGAGAAGTACCAGGGCAGGAGGGGCAGGGGATTAGTTGCTGGGGAAGTGGCTTGTGGACAGCAAACAACAGGCTATGATCTAGAGAGGAAACAGGAGTGTTTCCTCCATGGACATAGCCTGGACTGGGCTGGGACAGGGAACTCATGACTGCTTTCCTTGTCTCCCATTTCAGGTTCTAGCAGCTGGGGTTTCCCCTCAGCCCTCAAGCACCATGTCCAACCCCAGTGCCCCCCCTCCATATGAGGACCTCAACCCCCTGTACCCTGGCTCTCCACCCCCTGGGGGCTATGGGCAGCCATCTGTCCTGCCGGGTGGGTACCCTGCCTACCCACAGCCTGGCTATGGTCACCCTGCTGGCTACCCACAGCCCATGCCCCCCATCCACCCGATGCCCATGAACTATGGTGAGTGTTTGAAGGGCATATGATGTGTGGGTGGGAGGGGCAAACTTACAGCAGATGAGGCCACTTCCTTTCATCCCTCTCTCCCACTTCCCCTTTAATCCCTTTTTCCAGTGTTTCTGTCTAGCTCCCCTTCTGTTTCCTGTGTTCATTCTCCCTACTTTTCCCTCAGCCACTCCAGCCACTTCTCTTAGCAAGGACACCAAGTCCATGAGACTTATACCAGAACCTACACACCAGAGGAGAAAGTGGTTGAGTAAAGCAGTGACTTCCTGTTACCCTAGGAAACCATTTCTGTTTCCCAACGAGGCGCCTCCCACCCACTCAGACTCCATGTCTTCCTTATCTACTGCCTTTGGAACGCAAAGCATTTTTTTTTCTTTTTAAATTAATATCCTTGGTGCTGACAAATCCTCATTCTTTAAGGTAAAATCTGATTTTCGCAAATATCCAGAAGTTATTTGGAACCAAATTTGGTAAACATTGTGGCATATAAATGCTATATTTGGTCAGAAATGAGGTGAGATTAGAATGCAGTGAGACTCCTTTCCTGGCTGGCTCACATGGGGATTCTGAAAACAGTTCCTAAAGAGACATCCAAGGAATGCTTGGAGTCTCTGCAACATTTCTGGAATCCTAGAGCGAGTCCTGCCAACTGTCATCTGGATGTGTGTGTTCTGGTGCAGATCTTAGCGCATCACTGGTATTTTACAGTCAGACGTACCCATGACACCTCTGTTCTCTAGGAGGCCTGATGCAGGTCCCCAGTTTCACCAAGTTCTCCCCACCCGTACACACACTCTCATGTTGCTACCCTCCTTTGGTCTGCCCAAGCCAGGTGCATTCACTGAGGCTTCAAGGCCTGCTGCTGCCTACATTGAGACCCTATCCTCTGCCCTCAGTAGCATGAGCTAGGTACAGATGTCTGCTGATGGAATGGCTCACACCTAAGCCATCTTATGACAGGCCAGCTCTGGGTGGCTCTCAGGGCATCTAGAAGACCTTGCCTAAGCAAGGAGTTCATGCATTATAACACTTGTCTTTGGAAGCTTTGGGATTGAGGCCCCATGTCCCAGGGCCCAGCTGGTTATGCGTGGTCTGTCCCTAGGCCCAGGCCAGGGCTATGATGGGGAGGAGAGAGCAGTCAGTGACAACTTTGGGCCTGGAGAGTGGGATGACCGGAAAGTCCGACATGCCTTCATCCGAAAGGTAAGATGTGGGTGAGAGGCAGGTGTGCCTGGGGCCTTCAGGCAATGGGGAGGGGGAAGGGTGGGCCATGTAACCCCCAGGGCTCAGTCCCACATAACATCTGCTTGCCTGCCTTCTTTAGCCCTATGCTCTTCTCACAGGGATCCTTGGCTCCTCTAATTCTAGTGTTGCCCTTTTTCTCTTTATTTGTAGTTTCACTATTCCTCAATCAGAAATAATTTTTTGTTCAAAAAAGTATAAATAAACAGTTAGCAATTAGGATTTTTTTTTTTTTTTTTTTTTGTGACAGAGTCTCACTTTGTTGCCCTGGTAGAGTGCTGTGGTATCATACCTCACAGCAACCTCAAACTCTTGGGTTCAAGAGATCCTCTTGCCTCAGCTTGCCAAGCAGCTGGGACTGCAGGTGCCTGCCATAATGCCTGGCTACCTTCTTCTCTTCTTTACTTTGTTTTGGGAGGACAGATTGAATCTGGGAGAACCTCCTGGGTGGGTTTTGGCAAAGTTTTCCACTTTCCCTGACATCTTTCTCCCATTACACTGTACACAGCAAATGTACACAGAAATGACCACACTTGGTCGTAACCCACCCTCCCTAGCTCCCAGTACACAGCATGCATGGACTACTCCCAGGCAGGTCGAGTTGGTAGTGACAAGGCAGGTGTTGGGCAGGAGGGGAAGCAGGGGAGCATTCTTTGGGCAAGGAAGAGGTGGCTATAGCAGCTAAGCCGGGCTGCTGTGGCCTCATGGGATCACCTGTGGGCCCTTTAGCATTAACAAGAAGCCCGCTCCCACCACTGGCAGGACATGGAATGGCAGGGTCTGCTGAGCTTTGGGCTCCTTGGTTGTGGGAGAGATGGCAGCTTCCTGGGGGAGGCCAGGGGTGCAGGATGATGACCCTGTCTGGCTGCCTGTGTTCCAGGTGTACGCCATCATCTCCGTCCAGCTGCTGCTTACAGTGGCCATCATCGCCATCTTCACCTTTGTGTGAGTCTCTAGGCCTCACTGCCTTACCAGCCCTAGGGGTGTTGGGGTTGCCTGCTGGGAGCTAGGTTGCTGTGGGACCTGCTCTCAGAGCGCCTATGGGAGATTAGAGAAGATGGAGCCCCAGACTGACTGGAAGGGGGCAGACAAGCCACAGTGTGAGTCCTCTGTCCTCCCCTGCCTCACAGGGAACCAGTCAGCGCCTTCGTGAGGAGAAACACAGCCATCTACTACGTGTCCTAGTGAGTATGTGCTCATCCCTGCTTGGGGGTCAGGGAGAGGATGGCAGCAGCTTCTGCTTCTGGCTAGCAGGGGGCAGGATCAAATGCTCTTTGAGAGGGGTCTCCCAAGTTGCTGGTGCCAGTTTTTCATGCTTGGAGTGCAATACGTGTGTCCAGAGATGTAGAGTCCAGACTCCTGAGAGTGGGGATGGCGCATTCTGGTGGCAACATGCATGCTGCACCAGCGGCCCCCACCTCCTGAGGTTCTCTTCCTTGCCTGCTGCAGCCTCCTTGAACCTCCTTCCTGGCCCACACCTGGTGTTTCAGAGCTTCTCAGTGCCCCTGGCTGGGGGTGGTCTCATCCTTGCTTCCTGCTGAGTAGCTGCCCCTCAGACTTCCAAACAGCTTTTGGGCCTCCAACCAGGTGGGGCCGGGAGGGGGCTGAATAAGGTTTAGGCCTGTAGACTACTTCCTCATCTCTTTCTTCTCAGTGCTGTCTTCATCGTCACCTACTTGACCCTTGCCTGTTGCCAGGGACCCAGGTGAGTCCTAGAGACTTAGACAATGAGAAAGGATGGCAGGGGGGTGGGACAGGGGCTAAGTAGTTTGGAAAGAAAAAGAATTCCTGATAGTATCCCTTTTCTGGAGATGTACAAAAAATGATGATCATGAAGATGGCAGATACTATCCAAGTGTCCAAATGTGTACAGAGGTGTGTGTGTTTGTGTGATCTATTTAGCCATCTAGCTATCATTCTTACAGCAATCCTGTAAATATGTGGCATTTTAACCACTTAATAGGAAGACAGCCAGGGAGGTGGCTCATGCCTATACTCTTAGCACTTTGGGAGGCTGAGGCAGGAGGATCACTTGAAGTCAGGAGCTCAAGACCAGTCTGAACAACATAGTGAGACCATGCCTCTACAAAAAAAGAAAAATTAGCTGTATGTGGTAGGTGGCTAGTGCCTGCAGCTGTAGCCTTTTGGGAGGCTGAGGCAGGAGAATTGCTTGAGCCTTGGAATTTGAGGTTGCAGTGAGCTATGATGATGCCATTGCCTTCATGCCTGGGCAACAAGGTAAGATGCTATCTTAAAAAAACAAAACAGGGCTTGGCGCCTATAGCTCAACCGGCTAAGGTGCCAGCCA